CCTTTATTCCAATTATTATGGATTCATACGTAACATTCGTGGAACTCATTAATACCTAACATTAACATGGAAATTTAGAGTTATATTTTACGACAGTGTTTGATTTCCTGGCAACAACAAAGTTATTTTGCTAATTTCACTATGGCTTAAATTTTCCATTTACTGATTCCCAGATTATTTCCATTTTTAAAACATTCATGATGAATGTTACTTGTATGCAAAGTCTCACTATCAATCTATCATTAATTTCTTGGTGTAACTTAATGCATAAGAAAACTTTAGTACTGCTAAAAGACTTTTGCTAGAGGTATTTATCAACCGGTTTAAAATTTATATGCTCTTTGTTGAAAAAGGCATTAAACATAAAACTGGTCGTCCATATTTACAGAGGCTGTTCGCACATTTTTTAGACGATTTTGGTAAGCCGTAATAAAAACTCGTTTGCTGCAAAAGAAGTAATTGCATTGTACTATGTTTTTAAAGTCAAAATTATCGTCTGTGGCTGAAAGTTTTGTTTTTATACAAAATGGCGAATTTAACATAGCAGTGGTTCGAAGGCTACATTTACGCTCTTTCGAAGAGAAATATGCATTACTACGTTATCCAAAAACGATTGGGGGAGTCATGGTTTTGTGATATTTAAAGCGTCGATAGGTAAATCATCAACAAGTAAGGAACAAAATTCCAAACAATATCCAGGAAAAACGGACATCTTCGGACTATTGCAAAGGTAAGTTGTTAATGTTAAAAGAAAATCCCCTAGTCAAAGGACAGTTGCAAAATCATTTAAAATGCTCGGTGTCCACTGTAAACAAAATGATAACGGATTTAAAACTTAAGAAAGCGAAAAAACGCAATGTGCATCGTCCTTCTCCAACATATCGCTCAACGCACGACACGCTACAGAATTTCTATATGAGAAACACTTATCCAAAGAAAAATGGAAAAGAATTGTCACAATAGATGAAACATGGGTGTATTTAAACGATTTTAACAAAAAAAGAGGAATTTATTATCATAAAAGGGGGAAAAAATTAAGTACATGGTTAAAAGAATCGAAAGAAAGTTTTTCTAAGGGATTCGTGATTGTTGCTGGTTTTTCTTATAATGGCAAGTTAAAATAAAGGGAGTCCAAAGAAATGTCAGGATTAACTCCAAATACTATCAGGAACATATTTTATTGCCAATTTTTCTGAATGAAATACCATCGCTTTACCCACAGTGCCATCAATCTCTGAGGACTCCATCAGAACAAAGCTAGCAGTCACACATCAAATCCCTGTAAATTCCCAAAAGAAAGGGAACAAAAAAACTGGTATCAAGGCCATAACCCTTCACTGATATCCTGCAAATCTCCCGATGTGTCACCTATGGATTTTTGTGCTTTCGGACTTTTAAAAACTGCATTATCCAAACGTTGTCCCGAAACCCTTACAGGACTCTGGAAAGCTGTTCGGGAGGAATGGGATAGAATATCTCTTCTGCCATTTCATTATCTTGGAAATTGCGGTGTCGAAATATAGTTCAGAATAAGAGATGTCAAACAGAACATTTAAAACACAAGAATTTTATGTAATTTAGTTTTGTGAATACAATATACATCGTCTAAAAAATGTGTGAACAGCCTCTATACTTTAAATTGTTAAATAGAACTGAATAATGACACATCACCTTTCTAATTGTAAAATTAATTCATACTAGTTATTGTTTTCCAGTTACACTTCTGGAGAAAAGATATTTTTATTTTTGTTGAAGCATGATTAATATAAAAGTAACTTAAGTAATGATTAATATAAAAGTAGCTTAAGTAATGGTTAATATAAAAGTAGCTTATTTTTGCCACATTTAATGCAGAGAGGTTGGAGTCTCTGATTTTGCGAGAAGTGTCAGTGTTCTAACGTTCTTTTCCCGAAGTATTTTCATTAATTACATGTGCTTCATCCTTGTATATCTTTCATCCTTATAGGTTGTAACATAATGTAAAATAATTAACTCTCTCGTAGGGAGTGCAAGTTTTCGGTTGGTGCTTTGCAATTGTTTCCTCTGCTTCTACTGTCTTTGGAACTTTGAAATGGAATTCAGGAGAAGACTACAACCGTACTGTCGAAACAATAGCCTATGCTAGCCTGAGCAGATCAGCATGGGCATTGGGTTTAGTCTGGACCATTTTCTGCTGTGCCACAGGACATGGAGGTAAGTGATTAAATACAAGCAATTCTGCGTCGGAAAATAACTTAAATACCTTGTATCTTGGCATAGGGAGATAATATGAAACTTTCATAAATAAACTTATCATTAGGATATTTGCAGAATGATTCTGTGTCTCTCCAGAACACGCAACAAATGCAATATACCCTCTACATTTGTCCTCTACTACTTACTTCTACTTACTACAACAAATGTAACATACCTCTACTACGTCCACTGCATCTAAACTCAAAAAATCTTCAAGATCTTCCTCGTTAGTTTCTTAGGAATTTTTCCCTTCATCCTCTTCGGAAAAACTGTCTTGTATTGAAGAAGTTGGCTTGATTAGTGATTGTCAAAATCTTCGAATACCTTTGCTTCTAATTTATTTTGTTTTTGAAAACGAAACTTGTCTTTTCTGGGATATTGATGAAAGGATCAGCTGTAGAGGAAGAACTAACAACTACGTACGTGCTAGTTATTATGAATGGACTACCTTCCGCTGATGATCTAGCTGTTATAGATGATGTAGATGCTACGGATGCATTTGATTTAGTCGTCGGACAAAAACTGACCCAGAAACGTGACGTTCTTTTTTAAAATAATAGGATTTAAGAGATAAATCTCAATCACCCAAAGTTTATATATGGATTTTCCCAAGTTAAAAGCTCTAAAGTAAACCTCCTTAATACATTTGGCACATTTGAAGTGAACATTCTTCGAAGTTCGCTTATGTGAACAATAAAGATTTACGTAAATGTCTTTTTAAGAGGTCCACGGGAGACCAGATGCAAAGTCAGAAATCTATACGATATATGAGGAAAGAGGTAGAGTACGAGCAGTCAAACGCCCGTAAAGTGACCTAAAGTGTTGTCTAAGATAAGAAAACCTGGTCTTCTTTGCTTGACCTTACCAAATTTGTAAGATGATCTAGCCCTTATTTGCTTGATTTTAAGAAATTTATAAAATGCTGCGATTAAGAGAGAAAATATTCCACCGCCATCCATTCGGATTTTGAGCAAGCATAAAAGTTTTCTCTGACCTACTCTGTCAACATGCCCCTTGGAGTCCTTGTCGAAGAAAGATGATTAAATGTGACAGGAAAGATCCTGTAGCATTCATTTAGCAAATAGTAATTATATGTTTTCGGTCTCCATTCCTAGAGAAACACCATCTATTTTTTCCTGTGGGAGCTATATTGAATCTCGGGTTTGGTACGTACTTGAGACCACTTAAGTCGACATTAAATATTTCAGAACTTGGGAGCTTCAGAACTAAGTTCTCTATCAAAGAGGAAGAGTAAAGAAGAAGTTTTTGATTTCAGTATTATTGAATTCCATAATGAGGTTATTATGGAATTCATATAATTCGTTATAAATGTTTCCTGAGAGTGACGGAGGACTTTCGTTTAAAACTACCCAGCCTTCCAATCCTCACATGCTCTCCTTTTCTTCTAGCTAAAATTGTGAGGAATATAGCATTTCTCATATAACCTGGTCCTTATATGCATATTGTATTGTTATGGCTAATGTCAAATGGATCACAGACAAATAATGCTGAAAGAATACATGAATAATGCAAATTAGATTCGAATTCTTTGCATAGGCTGTCTGGTAGAGATGGCGGGTGATTTTTATAAAGTCGTCCATCTGACAGAAAAGAAGTGTTCATTATAACCTCATTATTTAGCACTACCCCGGTCTTCCGTAAAGGAAATTATTACTTTTTAATTATGTTTGTTTATTATTATTATAATTTATTGCTCGGCTTTTCAGACTGCATATATAACATTTTATGTTCTATACTTTTAATAGCTGGGTATCCCATACTAGAAAGCATTATGTTTTATACAGCATTAAATTTCTAAATTTTTAATAATTTTTTAAAGAATAAGAAAATAGAAAATGTCGCTCAGCCTTTGGGACTTCATTAGTGACGCTTAATTTATTACTTAAATAAATTATGATTGCAAATCAAGTATTTACAGCTGTTTCCTACAAATTTAAAGCCTTAATTTAAAATTTTTTAAGCTTATTTTTTTGTCTTTGTTCTAAAATATTACATTTTTAGAAATGGCAGTTGAAATTAAAAATGTAAAAAAACATGCTTTAGAATTTAAATCAATTTTAAAACCATATATATTTTAGAAGTCTGTATATTATTAATGAATGCGTTTTGTTGATTATTTTATACTAGACCAAAAGTGGGATTCGAACCCACCCATGTATTTTATACTGAATCAATGAATGATAATAAATTATATTTTAGGAATAGTGAACAGGTTCCTGTCATGGAAAGTGTTTGTACCTTTGGCACGCTTAACATTTGTTGTTTATTTACTGCATCCAATTGTGCAAGTTGTTTTTATCGGGAGCAAAACTACTTTAATGCAAATGGATCATTTCTTAGTGGTGAGTATATTTTGTTTCTATAGTAGTAATTGTCATTTAAAAATGTGGATAAATAAATAAAGACGATACGAAGATTATGATTTGAGAGGTGTTTCAATACAGTGCATTCAAACTTCTAGGATAATTTGGTTGTGCAAAAGTGAATTGAAATCATATACCTATGAAGGAAAAGCCATCCTTATATGTTAGCATGCAGAACAAATTGAAAGACACGTTAGAGCATAAATGAATTAAACGCGGTTTACTGATAACAACTATTACATTTGCGAAACGCAGAGAGATAACAAAAATTATTAGAAGTTGCGTCCACGAGCTTTAGCGCATGCCTGCCATCATAGGCGAATGGAACGCCGAACATTCTTTGCAAGTACGTCTTTCGACAGTTGCAGTAGTTATGGGGATGCCTGGAACCAAATCCTCAGCAGGATTGTCGGAAACTAGAGCTTACAGATGATCTCTAACATAATGGAACATTCAAGATAGGTGATCGTGATAGGTCTGGTGATCATGCAAGCCAATGCACTGAAACAGCCACTCCTGATTTACCATTTCCGGTTGTCATTTTGTTGACGCATGTCAGTGCTGAAACGAGCTGATGCTTCAGCGTATTGGAATCCTTCTCATACACGTAGCCTACGGACCTGTTGTTCATTCAAACATTTTGACAAGATTTTCTTCAGAAATAACCTATAGCTATGTAAATTTGGACGAACAGGCATAAGTCACGAGTCTATTAAGCGATCCCCTACACTGTCAGACTAAATATGTACATTATACGCGAATTATTAATTTTAGAGATAACGTTTTCCAGTCTTGCGCCTGCACGTGTAACGCAATTTACTGCGCAAACATGACGTTTCTAGTCTTGCATAGCTAAATTTCTTCTTATTTCAGCTTTGAATATCCCAGAAATTTGTACATTATATTCTGAAACACCCTGTGTAATGTATTGTGTAAATATTTTCGTTACCTAAGGAAATATGCAAATAAATATTATACACAATTAAGAAAATGCAACTTTGGAACAATTAACATGATTTAAAACTATTTTAGTCCTTTTGAAGCATTTGAAGTTTATGGCGAAATTCATGTTTGAAATACAAATAAAGATTAGGCATAATGAAGAAAATACATTTTGACACAATTAACATAATATCAATTATTTTTTAAATATGTTCTCTTGCAGCAGGTGAAGTTTAAGACAAAATTCATGCCTAATGAATTTTCGAGATCATAGATTATATTAGACAAAATCTAAATGCACTAATGTAATTTAATAAATGCGATTTCTCTTGAACCATTTCTACAATTAATCTCTATTATTAAAGATTCCCAGTACCAAGAAGATATCAGTTTAGATGAATAAGCTGTAGGCGAAACATTAGTTTAGGTAACATATTTGTTGATGAATGTTCGGTATTACAGGTAAAAGTATGCACGAGAAGAGCTATTTCGAACTGGAAATGGTGGTAAATTAAAAAACCTCTGTCGTCGCCACGATTTTGAAAGCAAGCATGAAACGCGCATTATATTATTTTGTGGGATGGAGTTCCATGCCTGTTGTGGTTGGTGAGTGAAATCAGGGACAGTCCATGCTAGTTGTAGAGAACGTTGAATTTGTTTTCCAGTCATCGTGCTCGATGGGATAAAACTCGTGTGATCTCGCAGGAGAAGGGAAAATATCGACTCTCTGTAGAGCAAGTTGGCTAATAGCAGCTGTATGGGGACGAACGTTATCTTATCGGAAAATACCTCCTGGAATATTACTCAAGAATGGCAGCATAGCCGGTGCAATCACTAGTCAGACATACAAATTTGTTATCAACGTGTGTAGGATAACGAATGCTCCTGTTGTCAGATCACAGGACACTGATCTCCAGATCATAACTCCTAATGTACGATAAGGAGAGCTTAGTTCCCAAGCGCTCAGTTGACCTCCTTTTAACCAACATATGGCCATCAATGACATCAAGACAAAAGCGGCTCTCATCTGAGAACAAAACAGATCTTCACTCCGCCCACCGGTGAATTCTAGCTTGAAACTACCGTGATCTCGGCGGTCACGGTAGGAGTTTAGTGGAAGAGCCGCCTCAGGACGTCTGACTCGGGGCTGCCCCTAAAGTAATCGATTTCTTACAGTTCGCTGTATCATTCTGGTGCCATCAAAAGCTCAATTTTAATTACAACTCTACCGCAGATCAGTGCTCTCTAACGCCTGAAGACGCCATTTCCGAACACACATTCAGTACGAAAATAAAATTTGCTTTTTTCGTTTCTCTCTACTTGCCTTGAAGTTTTCGTGAAATATTTTTTCATTTCCCTATATATAATTTCTGTATTATCTAATAAAATTCGTATCTAAGCGAGTTTTAATTTTGATTTTAGATTTTTAACTGTATGATCAATTCTGTGATAGCTAAAAATAATGTTTCCCACTTTAGTACTAAAATAAAGACAGCGTAAATTGGAAGGAATTTTTTTTACAGACCTCTTATGTAATTTTTAGTTCATAGAATGTGCAACAGTAATAAAGAAGGAAAATCATTGCTTCTAAAATGGAAATTATTCTTCCTGTCGGGATTGTGATTGAGTACGGATTACGTCCTTCCCACCCCCTTCCTCCAAAGATGTTTTTATCTATCTAAGAACGTCAGATAGTTCATTTTATATTTAAAAATCCGATCTCATCATCATTAAAAATCATTGCAGTACTAACAGCTAAGAATGAAATCTTTTGATTAAAAAATCATCATTACTATCAGTTTCAAGGTAAGTGAAAAATATTGTTGTGTGCGTAAGGGTTCGTAATAGTTTGAATGCACAAGTCTGATAAAAAGTCAGTAAAATTTATTCTTATCACAAGAAATAAAAACAAAATGGTGAAATTTTCCCTCAGTGATATTCGTACAATATCACACAGTAGTTATATTCTAAACTACTAAAACGTTAAATAGAATGCAACGCCAATCCGATTTTTTACAGACCTCTTTATGTAATTTTTAGTTCACCTTAGAGTTCGATGATTTACGGTTCCGAACCATGACGTCATTCAGCCTGTTTAGGACTGTGTATGGACCATCTAAAGGTGATTGAAGTTTCGGACAGAGTCCTTTCCGTCGAGTCGGATTCCATAACCACGACCGATGAGCACCTTGTCTCCTTCGTTGAATCGATGTCTAGTTGCTCTAATGTCGTATCGGGTCTTTATCTTCTCCGTCGCCAAGTTGACTCGCTCTCGTGCAAAATTGTGCATCACTTCAAACCGGGCCTGGAGACCTTGGATGTATTCCTCAAGCGATGAAGACGCATCTGGAGGGTGATCAAAGAGATCACAAGCCAGACGAAGGTCACGACCGATGAGCATCTGAGATGGAGAATAGCCGGTAGTCTCGTGTTTCTCTCCGACCTTATTATGATTTCGGCAGCTTTCTGAGCTGGGTCTTTAAGACAAGACGTCAGTGTTTCCAGGTGATGATATATCTTCTGATGGATAGTTGTGTCCTCTGATGCTTAAAGCAGTTTGTTGTTTTTGAAATCCAAGGAAAAGTTGTACTTCCTTAAAACGTCCAATCCGAGTACGCAAGTATCTGTAATATCTGCCACATATGCCGTGTGATAGGAGGCGGTACTTCCAAACCTCATCATCATTCCTGATGATGAGATTTGAAGGGAGATGTTCGTGATGTTCACGTTAAACTTCCCATTAATGTCGATTTTATAACCAGTTGCAGTCTTCAGGGTAACACAGGATGGCGTCCAAATGAGTTTATTTTTTAAATTGTTGAGCTAAATCTTTCCGAATGATATTAACATTAGCTCCTGCACCAATGATCATATTGCAAGCAACTCCATCGATATGCCCATTGATGAATAGTCCATTATTGTTGCCACTCACTTCAGAAATCTTCAGCGCTTTAAAACGGGGTTTCTCACTGTCGTTCAAACTCATCTCCGCGATATGGTCATTAATTTGTTTCCTGCGTCGTTGCTGGGCAATGAACTTATTTTCCGTGTCCTGGGGTGTTCTGTAAGTCCTTCGTATGTGGCCTTCAGCTCCGAAGTTACAGCACTTTGGTTTCTTGTCACTCCTTTCTCGACTTATGGCATTTAATTGCCTGTTTAAATCTTTTCTCTTATTTTCTGTGCTCTGGGGTGTTCTGCAGTTCCTTTGTATGTGGCCTTCAGCACAACTGTTCCAGCACTTTAGAGCCGGTTTCTTTTCATTCCTATTCCGTCTCAAGGCACTGACTTGTCTGGTCAGATAATCTGTTTTATTTTCTGTGCCCTGGGGTGTTCTGCAATGTCGTCGTATGTTGCCTTCAGTACCACATTTCCAACGCTTTAGAGCTAGTTTGTTCTCACTCCTACTGCGTATCAAAGCATTGACTTGCCTGAATAAATCAACTAAACTAGCCATCAGTTGACCCACTGGTTCGTGAACTTGAGCAGTTCTGACCGGTTGGCGGTCTCTACGAGTTGCTTGCTGGGCTGCATCGAATTTCATGGCGTAAAAAAGAGCGCGCTTTAAGGCCTTGACATCCGCCATTCGTAGAGCTTTCTGTATTTCAGGATTCCGGATGCCGTCGATAAAGTATTGCAGCGACAGGATTTCCCTTGTTTTTGTCGGGCACTCTGAAAAGGCGAGGTGGGACAGCCTTTCAACATCCGTGGCGAGCTCCTGCAGTGCTTCCATTGGCTTCTGTTGACGGGATTTTATTTGAAGCCTGTTGCAGTCTTTTAAACACTTCTCCCCAAAGTGCAGCTCCAACGCTCCGGACAGAGCTTCGAAATCTAGCCTTTTGTTTTCGGGAAGAGTCTGAAGGATATCCCCTGCGTCGGCTCTCAGAAAAGCGGCGAGATGACAGGCCTTAGCTTGGGGATTCCATCCATTCGCTGCTGCCACTATAGAGAACTGTGTCTTACATACTTTGCAGAAGGTCTTCCTATCATACGTGGATAATTTCAGAGAAGAACGAGCAGGCATGGGTAAAAATTAAAAACCGCCAACTACTGCCCTTTAAAATCGCTACGAATGTCTTCAAGGTATCAACTTCTTTGACTACTGCAGAAACTCTGTGATAAATTTGTCATTCGATTTGTTGTTGAATGGCAGACTCTTTCTTCGATTTCTCCAACTCTGTTTTCAACTGTGTCCATTCTGTCTTCCATAATTTTAAATTTGTTTTCTATTATGCAGGTGATTTCTCTTTTCATTTCTTCTTTAACAACTTCTCGAACAGCTTTCATGTCATCATTATCAGATACATGACTCGCTTTCATCACCTCTTGGCTCGCTTACATTTCTCCTTTAACAGAGTGGACGGCACCATCTTTTCTTAGAATGCAGCAAATGCAGTCATGAACTGGTTAATTGTTGTCCCATCGCTCTTGTAATTGGCATTCAATCCCACTTCTGACACCAAAAAGTGTTGCGAGCGTACGGGTTCGTAATAGACTGAATGCACAAGTCTGATAAAAGTCAATAAAATTTATTCTTATCACAAGAAATAAAAACAAAATGCTGAAATTTTCCCTCAGAGATATTCGTACAATATCACACTATCACACAGTAGTTATATTTTAAACTACTAAAACGTTAAATAGAATGCAATCCAAGCGCAGAGAAAGCTCTCACCGCGAATTCGCTACAATTAACAACAAATGTTTGTAATGATTTTAGTAACGTTTATTTTATTTTAAAACTTTGCTATTCTCTCTTATTTTTCATTTCCGGCCAGAATAAGCGCTAGTAGGAATTGTTTATGCTAATGAGGTTGCAAACTGTATAGGTATTTATATAATATGTGGCTTTTAGCCTTCTTTCTGCCCTGTCATGCGTGTACTTTTCAGTCAGTTCATGTCTGCCTTTAAGGCCAGAAATTAGTCCCTGCTGATATTTGAAGACGTACTGTAGTATTTGCAATTTCGCTCACCACATACGTAGTATCAAAAGGCCAGTCTTTGCGTTAATAGTTTCTGCAAAGCATTTTAGTTCTTATTTAGTTAAGTTAGCTTATTTCTTATTTTCTATGTTTTAGACCAAACGTGCTGGTCTCTGTATCCCGAAATGCGGGAGCGGCTGTACAATGTGAGAAATAAAGGGTTAATTTGACCCTTCTTTATTTTTGTTGTATCTTCTACACACGCACGAACATAGTTTGAGTAAGCTCCCTGTTCCTACTCAAGACTCCAGTTATGTTTCCAAAGGCATTTAGAAGGAATAGCAGCCCTGACAAGTTATTTAAACAACGAAAAAAACTGAACTACTGATCTGAGATGTTCTCTCTCTGGATTTTATAGCTTTTTAAATCGGCCGCACGAGAGGGTTCTAGCAATTTCTGGAAAGCAGAAAGCACTGAATTACGGTTACAGCTAACATTTTAGTCAATTAAATTTATTCAAATTAAATACCAATTACGGAGATAAATTTTTATTAAATGTTAAATGCACGTTACTTTTGCTTTTCTGGCGTAGCTTTCTCTTAAAATTCGTCACGCGCTGCTTTGCAGGGGGAAATAAAACAGTTTTAATTACAATTCTAATAAAAATAGCCAACTAAGTACAAAGTCCGTAACAATAATAATATTTTTTTAATTGAAAAAATTCGCTAAATTATGTTAGAAATAAGAAAAGCAGCCCTTAGAAATATTATATTATGAGATATAAAGATAAAAATTCTTACATGTTTACCGTTAAACAAGGATAGGTGGAAGAAATTCAGTACTAAATTGGCATCTCTATTATATCTTAAACGTTTCCAGAAAATCGAAAAGTGGAGTCAACAGAAGAAGGTTAAACAATAATTTCAATATTTAGAGCATAACAAACAGATAAACTACTTTAAATAAAATTGCGTAATAAACTGCTGATATTCGACTGAAGATTAAAATCAGTGCTTAAAACTATTCTAACACGTGTAGAAATCCTGTGTTCAAGCTCCAGGCAAACACAGCAAAGCAAGAAATTGTGACAATAACGTTAAAATACATAACTAAATGAATTAACATCTTTGAATCCATACTACCATTTTCAGATTTATGTGTCGTATTTTGAAGTAGAAATTACCAGAAAATAGGAATTAGCTACGATAATGTGATGGCTAACAATACGATGATATCACAGAGCAGGAGTTCCTTGATTATAGTCCCAGTCGCAATTGAAGCAATAACAAAAGGATCTACTAATTAGAACTCCTAAAATCTAATGCAGATTTAAGAACTTATAAAAAATGCGGCCCTTATAAGCTGAAAATGCATATCTCGAATTTGCTGTTCGTAAAGTGCTCTTAGTTAAATATTTTAGCTAAATTTTTGCAATTTCCCGCCAGCAGTCGAGCGGCAAAAGCCGCTGAAAACTGGTAGTTCGGGTCAAAGATTCGAGTTCCGGCAAACGGGTTGGCTGCATGGGCGTTTTCGTGGCTTTGCCCACATGTAACGTGGATACGGGCCAGTTTTTCTTAAAACGACCTCCACGGGCCATCCCTTACCTTCCGTGTACTGCCTGAGCACGTAATAAAAGAAAAAATATCAGTTGCTCAAAATATAAACTATATCTATTTTACGTCAAATATGTTTTCAAAAAGGGGCATATTAACTATCATACAAAACAAAAACTTTCAGTAATGAATGTCCCATGCAAATAATCCATTTAATTTACAAAGATTTAATTACTAAATTACTTACACATAAATAATAGTATTTTTAAGAAAAACTGCATTCTTCGGTTCGTAAATTTATCATCAAAATGGATTTAAATATTATAAACTTTTTAATTCTTGATAGAATTTTCTAATTTTTAAATTTTACTAGGTTTGGTATTTCTTTGGACACTTACTGGTCACCTTTGGACTGGGCGTTTTGATGAGCATGATGTTTGAAGCACCATTTATGAACTTAGAGAAGGTTTTGCTCTCCCGTCCTGAAAAAAGAGAAGACTCCAAACCTGCAGACATTTTCAAAGGAACTCTTCAGGTGGACAAAAATGGATCCATAAATACTATTCTGACAAATGTTGTTGAGGATCCTGTACCAAATGATGCGTGTAATGTTGAGGTTCAAAAACTTTAAAATATGTAATGTTGTAAACAATGTATTTATGAAAAAATTATAAAAATGATTAAAAAAATTCAAACATGTAAAATATGGCAATATGTACAATATAGTATCAACATGTAAAATACGGTATTTTTTTATAAAATCAACTTTTAGTAAAGTTCCAGGCAAAAATCTTATTATTTTTTAATTCCTTACTTTCTCATACATAAATACTTACGATAATATTTATGTATTATTAAGATTACAATTTTTCATTTTTAACACTTATTATTAAGCAAATATATCCGACACTAAAAATGCTGACAAATGAAAATTTTAACGTACAATTATTAGTCCAAAGGGGCTTTGTTCCTGAAGAACTATTGTTTTCGTTTTGCGATTTTGCCTTGAATCACTATAAATGTCCGTTTCACTTTTCAAACTGTTGCCACCAAATGTTAGAGTCCTGCATTATATTTGAAGAAATTAAATAATGAAAAATCTGCATAAATATATGTCTATTTCTTGCATTGTGATAAAACAACGGTGCATACAGTCATCGAATTTTGAATGACGTAATCCTCCTACGAATATATGCATGTGGAAGACCAAGTTTGAAATTTGGAATTTGTTTTATGATCGATTTCATATTTTGTAAAACTTTAACGAATATTTGAGTAACAAACTCAACAATTTAAAAGCGAGCAATGGCAACACTCTACGGCGGGGAAAAACCTTTTTATCTCCAGCGGGCGCGGAACTGTGTATCAGAAATTCTAAAGATATGCTCATTTTAAAATTACTTTGCGACACTGCTACTGAACTGAATTACTGAATTTTATGGTTTAAGTGCAAATAGCATGATATTTAATAAATAAAGGTAACATACAAAACGTTAAAAAAAAAAAAAAAAGCCCATTTGGACGTAATTGTAAAATCTGAAACCTTTCAGATTTTTTTTGGGGGGGGCTTGTATTTTATTAAAATTTCTTCATTAATTAAATTTTTTAAAAAAAATTTATTTTCGAATCACTTCTGTATACGATTGTCGTACCTTGTTATAACACGTTTAGTAAAGAAAGCTAAATCATAATCTTAATGATAGCTGTTATTCGTTACAATAATTCGAAATTTGGAATATGAATATAAAATGTGAAATATAGTTTTAACAAGGATTTGTTTTTCCTTTTCCATAAAAATAAAACGAAATGTGCAATAATGGTGTACCTAACGCAATAAGCATGACAAACGCAATTAACGTGCCACCAAACGTATTGAGAAAGAGCTGATTTTAAAGTGTTTAGTGTAAATACCGATGTGATAAAAATAGCTCATAATGCAATTTACTAGATAATAAATCTTTCAAGGGAGCATACGCTTGCAGAATTATGATCTGGGAGAAATACGAAGAAGAGCATGCTTATTAACATCAGTTCAAGTTTTAATTTTTTCATCTAAGGCTTTCAAAGAAATAGCTTTTACTTTTAAAATTTCCAATGTTTATTCTAGGTCTTCAAGGTTACCGGTTGCAATTAAGGATTCAACAGAACTTGTTACTTTAGTGATGGCTGAACGAATAACTTTACGTTCTTTACGTTCAGCCATTTTGTTACTTTTGAATTTCACTTTACAACAAAATAAATTGAACAATGAAAATGTCTTATTCTGAAGACTCACTTACGCGTTTACTTGTGAACTCCGAAGAATGATATATCCTCCTTTGCTGACACCAATGTCATATACTATTACTGCGTGGGTTCTGGATATATTCTTTCTTCTTAATGTGGACGTGAGCGAAATGTGGGCATAGCATAAACCAGACATTTAATAACGGCACAAATACTTTATTAACACAGAAGCAAAACAAGTAGTTAACACGAAAATAGAACCATATGTATCATTACCCTGGCATACAGAGGGTTACCTTCGTTACTATCAGTCTCTTCTCTTCTAATGTAAGTCACGTCAGAAAGAGGCATTGCAGCCCGTTGGGCTAAAACTGCATCAGAGATAGCTGAGCGGTCAGCGTACTGGATTGCAAAAGGAAAGGTTGCAAGTTCAAACCTCACTCTTAACCATTGTCCATCAAAGTTAGCTTTTTTAACATCCTGCTTATCTCTCACGACAGTTAATGCCATTTATGATAGACTATTCATCAATATGCAATTCCTGACAATAAATTCGCTATACCATTGCTTTACGTCGACTCAGGCGAACGCAGTTCGCGAAGCGGGCTCCCGCGCATCAGCGCAATCCCAGACTATGTTGTTAGCGATTTTCTATCTGGAATGTAACTGAGCATGAGTGAGTCCTAAAAAGTTCAAGTGGGTAAAGATGGCAGTTAGATGATTTGTGGGTTGATAGCATAAACAGTAGAGAGTCTTTGAGGAAACACTGTCTCATCTGCATCATCACAAGTAGGTTGTGTTGATTGGCTGTAAGAGAGCAGGTAAGTAAAGTGCTAAAAACTATCTGGCCATTCAGAGAGGAGAGTGGAAAGTCAGAAAATGCAGCACTAAAGAATAATTTTAAGCTATAAAGTCTCTAAAATTTGGAAATATTTTTTTAAATGTATTAATTTTTTTAATATAATTATATATTTGAATATTACTATTAAAACTAGGTGTTAGCTATATGGCGCAAAATTGCCCTCGGTCTTCTTCTATTTCTGTTGCTTCTGTAGTCGTAAGCTAATATTGGGATTGTTGGGTTTTGGACTTTAGAAATTTTCCTAAAAAAATTTTTGGCCAAGTTTGCCATATAGGCGTTAATGGGCATTACGTTGAATTCTCTGTGGATAGCTTCATTACGAATGAACCATCTTCAATTAGTGGCTTGTCTTAGGACCGAATTTTGGGCAGTATGCAGACTTTTAATAGATGAATCGCTAGCATACCCCCATACAGGGCAGGCATAGGTAATAATAGGTCGTAGCATGGCTTTATAGATGAGTATTTTCTTTTCTATTGAGAGAACGCTGTTCCGAGCGATTAGAGGGGAAAGTGTAGCTTTACGAGCTCGGAACTTGTTAATTACGTGTTAAATGCGGGGCGACCATGTGAGATGCTTGTCAAGAATTACTCCTAAGTAGGGGACTTGCTTGGCCCAAGGGATTGCAGTATTAAACATAATGATCTGAATGTGTTCATCAGTTTTGATTTTCCTGGTGAACAAAATAGCGTCGGATTTCTCGACATTAATGCCAATTTTCCAGGCGAGGAGCCAAGACTCCAGTGCATGGATGTGATTTTGGAGTGATTGTTTTACTGAGCTGATAGATGCATTTTGGGTGAGTATTGCCATATCATCTGCATACATGGCTGTGGTTGTGGGATATCGTTCGAGTAGATATTATAGAGGACTGGAGAAATTAAAGAGCCCTGAGGTACGCCAGCCATGATTGGTCTGGGGGTTGAGTATGTGCTATTGACTCGAACGACAAAGTGTCTATCCTTAAGATAGGAGTTAATAAGTGTAATGATGTAAGCTGGGAAACCCAGGTTAATTAATTTGTAAGTGAGGCCCTCCAGCCACACACGGTCAAATGCCTTAGCAACGTCTAGAAAGATACCTCCGGTAGTGAGATTATTTTGCAGTCCTGAAGAAATCAATTCAGCGACCCGGTATAATTGATGCGTGGTGGAGTGTCGTTTGCGGAAGCCGTATTGCTCATTGATGAATGAATTATTTGCTTCCGCATGTTGCATGATCCTTTTTAAAATGACATATTCAGTGATTTTACTTAAAGCTGATAAAAGGCTTATTGGTCTGTAGGATACCGGATCGCAAGGAGCTTTTCCTGGTTTAAGAATTGGGCATATGATTGCAGTTTTCCATTTTTTAGGGTAAATTTCACTTTTGATAATAAAGTTGATGATGGTAACCAGGTTGAAGATCATAAAAATACCCATGTTGGCAAGCATTTTATTGGAAATCTTCTCCAGACCAGGACTTTTCTTGGTTTTCAGTTTGCATACATATTCAAGGACATCTGACGGCATAACTGGAGGGATGTTGTCAGTGTGGGATTTGTCAGGAAATTTGTTAGCGTATGATTAACCAAGTGTTCTGTTGGTGGGTGAGAAATGTTGTTGGCGCGGAACTGAGTAGCGTAGTGATCGGCGAGCGACTCAACTTTCTCAATTTCGGTGTAGGCAATATTTCGGGGGCCATTAAGGGGCGGAATATTTGTGTAGCATCTTTTAAATTTTGTAGTCGCTTTCCAGATAGAGTTATCTTCTGGATTAAGAGACTCTAGGTAATCAGCCCAGTTGCGTTGTGCTTGTTTACGTGTCAGGAGTCTGATCTCGTGATTGAGCCTGTTGAGAGCGGATTTATCCGCGGGATGCCGGTATTTTTGCCATGTTTTGCGGGTAGCATTTCCATGTTTAATAAGTTGCCGGATCTTGGAGTTTTTAATTCTGTCCCTGTGTTCTACAGCTTTGCTGTTGACATTCAGGGCGTTAAAAAGTTCATTGGAAAAGGAAGTAATAGCCTTGTCTAACTCATCCTCATTTTGCATCGTGTGTATTGAGTGTTGTTTAGGGCTTTGGCATATTCTGCCCAGTTAGTAATGAAGGCCCTTTTGTCTGGTGAGTTATGGTGATTAACATCTAGCTCTAGAATGACGGGATTATGATCTGACGATAGTTCACACAAACTTTCCACATGCAGACTTTTTACACCTCTGAGAAGGTAGAAAACAATGGTAGAAGCAGTATTATCGCCATAACGTGTTGGGGTTTGTGCAGCTGCAATAGTAAATCCTGCCGAGTCGGCAAAACGAAGGGTTATATTTCCTAAGGTGTTGTTTGACTTGCAGTTGCACTCGCGATCGTGTGCATTTAGATCTCCACCTATAATGATTCTATTGTTAATTCTAGAGAGAACTTGCAGGTCAGCTGCAACGTTCCCGTGTGCTTTCCTGTTGGGTGGGATATAAGTGGAGATAAAAGAGATTGGTTGAGTACTGTGTGGAATGATGTTAATGGTTAAGGCCTCGACAGTTGAAAGCCGTGGCATTGTAACTAGATAATGAGGAATGTAGCGCTTAATTAAAATAGTTAAACCTCCTTCTGGGTGTCTGGTGGGTGTGATCCTATCAAC